AATTTTTTACAACTATAAATTGCAGTTTAAAGTTAAAAATTGAACAATTGACCTGTAATATGTATAAATTGTCTTATGATTGCTAAAGCACCCAAACAAAATCCTACAGCATTGGCTACTCACCATTTTGAACACAAAACAATTTCAATTTCAACAGTCCAAAAATATTAAACACAGAGCAAAACAAACATAAACATAACTTTTTAAAAATGGTTTACATAAACAGAAATAAACACAGAATCAATTGCAGAACAGCACATGTAAAATCAGCCCAGCCGCAGGTACACTGATGTAAATCAAATTCAATATCAATAGCATATGTATAACATACAAAACATATAATACAACATATAAAACAATTTCAGTTCACTAATTTCGTGGTCTGCTTAACCAGTTAATATCTTACAATTAAGTAAGGTTTTCAGTTGAGATAAAAAAGTCAATGGCACGAGCAGGATTCGAATGGCAAAAAGGAGGGAAAATTCAAAATGTGTGGTTGAGGTGGGAAGGGTATCTGAGTGGATCGAGGTCACGATAGCTCAAGTGGTAGAGCAGCAGCGTATCAAGCTGAAGATCGTGGGTTCGAATCCCACTCGTGCCATTGACTTTTTTATCTCAACTGAAAACCTTAATTAATTGTAAGATATAAAACAATCATTACACTCCAATCATCAAACATTTCTTCATAGTCTAAATCCCCATCAATTTATCTCTCCTTTCCGTAATAATCCTGAAAGGCAAACTAGGCCCGAACGATAAACCATTACCCTTTTTTCCATTGTCAGTCTCTTTCACCTCAAAGAAGCCGACTCCTCATAGAAAAATCGATTTCTATCCTTACTTCCTTCCCCACTCCTTCAAAATCAAACATATATAAACAAAAAACAAATATCTCACTAACACGTCACACAACGACACATCTACACAGAAAACACACTTTGAGTGAGTACAAATACTGTGATTAAACCTAAAATTTCTATATTGTGCATATCGTCATATAAATTCATATTAAACGATGTTTATTAATCCCAGGCCCTGAAGATAATCTCAATAAAGAACGAAATATTGGCATATATTCAATAAAGAAAATGTTTTTTTGAAACCTACATCGCATCAGATCGCATCTCTAAATAATTTTTATCAATAAATATTTGTGATGGGGTCTAAGGAATAATTGTGAATTTGAAGCATTGTTAATTATTTAATTGTCCGTAATCTCAAAATGACAGTGACATGTCAGCATAATTTTCAGTTCTTCAAAACGAGCAATTTTTATTACTGTAAATACACGGAAAACCGATTGATTGATGACACTCTCATTCATTCTTAAATATATTCTTTCCTTTTAAGTACCATTCAATCAAGTAGCTATTTGATATCAAATAATTAAATGAATGTCTGTAAAATATAGAATTGATAAATATGTACGTAGGGCATCGTAATAGTAATTGCAAATTTCTTTGTTAATGGACAAGTGTAAAAATAAATAATTCAATGACAGGTGGTGGTATGATTATGAAATGTTCTTATTACATTGGTTATTTGTTTTAATTGTAATGTGAGAAAAATAAAGAAGTGGATTTCAATTTTGAGTAGTCGTAAAGTAAAACATTTCCCATAATGTGCTTTGGTGGGATCATTAAAAAACACAATTTCGCTTTAGTTATTAACTATTAAATTCACTAATTTCGTGGTCCGCTTGACCAATTAATACATTACAATTAATTAAGGTTTTTAGTTGAGATGAAAAAAGTTAAGGGCACGAGCGGGATTCGAACCCACAATCTTCGGCTAGATACACTGCTGCTCTACCACTTGAGCTATCGTGACCTCGATCCACTCGGACATCAACTTCCTATCTCAACCCCACCGTATCTAGCCGAAAATCGTGGGTTCGAATCCCGCTCGTGCCATTAACTTTTTTTCATCTCAACTAAAAACCTTAATTAATTGTAAGTTATTAACTATGTTAACTATGAGAGAAAAATAGCAAAAGTGGATTTCGATTGAAATGACAAATCACAAAGAAGTTCAGATGGGCAGTCTTTAGGTTGTGACATGTGAAACTTGATTTAAAAAAACTGAATAAAAAAACAAAACAAGAAACTATAATATATAATAGTTATCATAATAAATAAATTAAAGTGGATTGTAACCAAGTATCGTCCATGTTGCTGAAATGATTTGAATTGGTAACAAAAATACTACCTAATGGTTAAAGTAGAAAAAGAAAATTTTATTGATTCTATAGTAATTAGTCGGAAAACAACCTTTCTTCAATATTTTTTTATGTAACTTCTGACTAGGATTTTTTTAAACCCCATATGATCCTTGACTTTCAGCACATATTGTATTTTCCGTTATTGCTATTCTGTGATTGAAATGCTTAGTTCTTCATTACTATCTGCTGCATTTGGTGCTTTAATACATATAATTTCTTTGCTAACTCAAATGATTTATTTTTATGCAATCAACCAATAACAAGAATGTTTTGTCTTTAAAATTCCCACATTTTATTTTCAATCCACACTGGTCAGTTTCAATTGTGTCAATTGTGTTTCAATTCTTCAGTCGTGAAGATTTATTCAAATTTTTTTAACAACGAATTTGAAAACTATTATTTTTTTTTAATATCTCTGGCAAGACACAGGTTTAAACTAACACAGAACCATAGATATGATTGATTTATTATCATTGAGGACCTTGGTAGCCGAGTGGTTAGCGCGATAGACTCCTGGCTGCGGTTGTTGGTTTGATTCCTATCATCGCACCTTTTTTCACGCACTCCTTCCCCCCCCCCCCAAATGCATATAATACACATCTCCTTGGCTAATATGCAGTTCATAAGGCCATTAAAAGAGAAAAATTATTATAATTTAATATTTGTAATATCTTATTTTGTTTGCTTTTTTTAATTGTTTTATTAACTAGCCACTATTCAGTTTGGAAGTTTTTAAATAATGGACATTTAACATTTTATTTAAAATGATTTATGGTCAGAGAATAAATAGACATTAAATTTGTATTTTCTTAAACCATTTACCACTTCTTATACAAATGTGTTTAATAATGCCAGAAAACATTGTCGGGCTAAAATAGCACAAGGATAGTTGTTTTATGCTGTTACTACATGTTGTCAATACGTCAAGGCTGTTGTACTTGCTATTAGAATTTTTTAATGTTTTCTGCCATCTTTCAAAAATTAAAAGAAATATTGAGAAAATGAAATGATTCTGCTTTTTGTATTTCACATCTGCTCTGGACAAAACAAACTTGTTGTCTGGCTTTTTTCCTTAATTGCATAGAGATTTGTACAAGTTTTACTGATTATAATTTTGTCTGTCCATTTTTTCTTCTATCAAATGCAAGTCACTATCTGCATTATGTGTATATTTTTTATCACCAAGAGTCCAAAGACAAAATTCTACATTTTTTAAGCAATAAAATATAAACAAAATTCTGTGAATTTTTATGTTGCTTGCCTTGTCTGAAAAGTAAGGACAATTAAAGTTTTGTTCTTTACCATTGCTATTCTTATGCTGCAGTTAACTAACAATATTAAAAAGTCCATTTCTAATTTATCTGACATAATCAAATGATAAAAAAAAGTTATTCCTTCTGTATTTTAGAGGAGAAAATTTATAAAAATCTGTTTTTATTGTTGTTTTCTCAGAAGATCAATTATTGACCACTCATAAATTCAAAACGTACGTGCGAGTTTGTTACATAATGCTCGCCTCAATTGGAATACATTTTATTGTTTATGTTATTACTAGTTGCCATCATTAAGGCTTAATCATAATAATTCTATTGCTTTATTTTTGATTAAAAAAATAAAACCTCTTGTTACAAGGATTTAATTATTAGATTGACTTGACACGCTGACACATTCCTTTCATGACATAAATTCGCTTAGTTTAAAAAAAGTTTTTGAACTAATTTCATTATTGTGCAATCATCAGATAACCTTTTTGTGCACTGTAAGTGCAACATTTATTCAGAAGAATCAATCTAGCTTTGATCTCATGACCTAATAATGGGAAATTACGTTTTTTAAGCCATCTTGTCATTAGTTGACTGCACTAAACGGAGTGCTTTTTTTTTCTTATTGTTATTGAAAGATAACATTATTTGTACAAATTGAGATAAATTGCACCAATAATAATTATTAACTCTGTGTGGTTCTGTTGAATTTGTCCAATCTAGTTTTTTTGAATTTGTGCAAAATACAATATTTATAAAATCAAAGGAACAAAAAATGATATAGTGTCAATTATAATAAAAAATATATACTTGAAAATATATAATATTTATAAAAATATATAATAGTTGAATTATTATATGTACAGTTTGACTTGACAGTTCACTTTAACCTGCCTGGCATTTTTTGGAAACTCATATAGTCAGACCCAATTGATGTTTGGGTCTTTTGTTTCATAACAACGTATTACAATTGCAGTGCCAGTTATACTTTTAAATGGGTCCTTTTTATTTGATACAGAATTTTTTTCTATTGCAAAACCATTGTTTAAGAAGGCAGCTGCTGAAAAAAGTCCAGTTATTCCTTTCCAGCTGAATTTTCGATGGGCAGATGTTCTCCAACAAACTTGTTCTAAATAGTGCCAAGCCTTGTCTTACTACCTTAGCCAAGCCAGTACATTGTTTTACATTAAAAACTTGTGAATTAATTTATTATAAAATAAAATAAACTTCAAACAGCTATTTGAAAGAAAACCCTTTCTTAGTCAGTAAACACATAGTAGCTGATGTTTTTAGATTTCGAAATTTAAAACTTTTTTTCCGTTGGTCATCTTGTGTTGCTCAATTATCAGGAAAAAACAATAATGTGTTCGTTTATTTAAGTAAGATTAAATTGATCAAATTTAACATCTTGTACATTCGTACTTTTTTTATATAAAAAAAAAACAGATTTTTCATTTTAGTATTAATACATATTTTTAAAATTAATCAATTAATTTTTGACAATAACTGGTTTATAGGTCATTAGACAAGTAGGAATCCTTGTGAGGCAATTATGCCAACTGCACAGCGTACCAGAGCCCGAGGAGCTCGAAAGGCTAAGGCTCGGTAAGATTAATTTTGAATAAGTATGTTATGATGAAAGCCAATATATTTTTTTTTCTTTAAAGGTTATTGGCCATGTTCTGTTCCTATGGAAGCCCCTCCGACTCCTCCTCACAACGATGATGAGGATGAGGAAGATGAGGAGGCAGATGATGATGAAGACCTTCATCTCGAGATGGACGATCCAGAACCACCAAACAAAAATAAGGTAATATACGTCAAATTTAATTATAAGATAGGATTAATAATTATAAAATAAGATAAAACTAAGATAAAAAAAATAAGGTAATATAAGTGACATTTAATTATAAGGTTGTTTTCTAATTTTTGTTAAACATAGGCTGATGACATGGGAGTTGAACATCTAGCAGTGCTAGAAAGGCTTAGGCATACCCAAAGACAAGATCACCTCAAAGGGTCTGTGTCCGGTTCGGTCCAAGCGACGGACCGATTAATGAAAGAATTACGGGATATATACCGCTCCGATTCTTTTAAGAAAGGTCTGCTTCTGTTTTTAACCCCAGAGTATGTATATAAATAGATTTTCTTCTATTGTTTAGGCATGTACAGTATTGACCTTGTGAGTGAATCGCTGTACGAGTGGAACGTCCGTTTAATGAGCGTGGACCCTGATTCGCCGCTTCATAATGATTTAATGGAGCTGAAAGAAAAAGAGGGTAAAGATTCGATACTTCTCAACATGCTTTTTAAGGAGACGTACCCTTTTGAACCGCCTTTCGTTAGGGTTGTTCATCCTATAATTTCTGGAGGTTACGTTTTAGTAAGTCTCGAAAATTTGCATTGCTTTCTTGCCTTTTCTTTCAGTTAAAAAGAACAAATCCTTTTTTAACAGGTTGGGGGAGCGATTTGTATGGAACTTCTAACAAAGCAGGGCTGGAGTTCGGCATATACGGTTGAAGCCGTAATAATGCAGATTGCAGCGACACTTGTCAAGGGGAAAGCGCGGATACAATTCGGGGCGCCTAAGGTTGTTGGCCAGGTACTATTTTTTTAAATTTATTTATTTTTTTTTTTTTTAAGAAAAAAGAGAAAAAAAAATTCATCTTAATGTTGGCCAGGTACTATTTTTTTAAATAAATTAATTTATTTTTTGCTCCCCCCTCTTTTTTGTGCTTCAAGACTTTAAGAAAAGAAAATAATTCATCTTAATTTTGACTAAGTCAGTGTATAAGAAAATAATTGAGAGTACTTAATTCCATTTAAAAAATACAGAGTGGGAGGCCTACTCATTTAACTTATTTATTGTACACCTATGTTTTTGTGATGTTTTTGATTTTTAAAGGTATGAATTGTTTTATTTTCTTGAATTACTCATTTTTACATTATGATTAGTAATAATTGTGATGCTTTATATGTTATAAAAAATCTAGAAACAAGTTAATTCCATTACCGGTTCTTCCTTGGACCATCGACAATCCACCTAGGCTCAGTGATTTTTTTCTGTTGCCCTCTTTGTCTCCAAAAATAAAATAATCGGGCGCCACACTGTTTTTCTTTTCTTTTTCAGGAAACAGGCAACTCTCGGGGTGAAATATAAAAAAATAAAATAAAATATGCCCGAAAACAAAAAGGAAATAAAACAAGTTCTCTTCTACAATAATAATAATTAATAATAATAAAAGGCAGTTCTCCCCTCACACACACAAACTCCCCGCTCCATGACGATAAGGAAATAAAGTCCAAAATTTTTTTTTTTTAAATCAAGTCCTTTTTCACCTTTTTCTCCAACTCGTCTATGCTGACCAGTTTAAGCTCGAGCTTCGCCTGTCTGTACCAGCTGGTCCCCACTTCTCGTCAACATCTCGCTCAACCTGGCAGAGGGCACCCTCGTCGCTGGCTGAATCTGGTCACCCCTGTTATCATCATCAGTATATCATCATTGTCATCCACTTCCTCACTTTTAAATATTCAATTTAGCTAACCCATTACTTCAACTTACTTTTCATACCACCATTCCATAGGCAGACTAGAAAGATTGGAGAGGGCCAAATTGCAGGTTCATCACAGATCAAAAAAACCTTTACAATCAAATCCAATTATAGTAAATGTGTGGCATATTGTATGACTAACAGATCTAAAAACCTTTTCAGACAATATACAAATAGATTGGTTTGAGAAATTTGAAATAGAAAAATATTAAATTAAACAGGTAGAAAAATGCTTTTTGCATGATAAATAATTTTTTATTTACCTTTCATTTTAAACATGTAATTAAATAATATTTGACATACAAATGAATCACTAATTTAAAAATATTTCCTACAGTATTTCTTAGGATAATATTTAGTTGTGTTGTAATTCACGTTTTATCCCTTTCAAAATTGAATTCAATAAAAACCAGCTTCTCATTAGAACATTGTGTCATGTTCACTCTTACAATTCATGTCGAGAGACGTGTTTGTAGTTAACTCTTTTAACCTGATGTGAGCGTTTAATGCTCGAAATCTGAATCATTCATTGAAAACAAACTGTAAGTAAAAAATAATTTTTTGGAAATGTCCAAAACCCTTTCCAGATAATCGGATTAGGTTAATTGGCGGTCTGCCGTCTGACTCACAAATCTTAACAACCTTTTTCATACTTTTGGATCTGATCTTATAAAATGTTAATTCAGACATGTCTACGGGACTTGACTACCATGGCAAATGGTTCAGCTATCATGAAATATTGGCTAGCCATCCAACTACAGAATCAAGCAGTCTGATCCAGTTGCAGTCTTGGCCTGCTGTCAGACTGCTAAATACAAAAACCTTTTCAGACTATCAAATAAGGCTGTACTAAATTTTGTGGTATGTTGTTTAACTGACAAATACAAAATTGTTCAAACAATCAAATCCACTAGTAGTAATTTATCCACTAATAAAGATGTGTGTGGCCTAACGTTTGACTGACAAATCCAAAAAGCTTTTCAGACAATCATATCCAGCTATAGTAAATGTGTGGCCTATTGTCAGACTTGACAGAGCTAACATTTTCAGACAATTGGATCCAGTTCCAGTAAATGCGTGGCCTACTGTCAGACTTGACAGAGAACTTCTTTTTTCTTACTATTGGATCTAATCTTATAAAAGGTCAGACATGACTACCATGACAAATGATTCATCTATTATGTAACATTGGCTATTGTATGGTTACCATATTTGATAATAAGGAAAAGTTGACCTTAAATTTGCATTAATTTTCTTGGTAGACAACCTATAAGGAACAATACAACAACAAATAACAACAGGAATAACCAATAAGGAACAAAACAATGGCATGAGATGTCATCCAGTCCATCATTACATTTAATTTCACTATTTTTCGTGGTCCACTTGACCAAATAATATCATACAATTTATATCAACTTAAAACCTTAATTAATTCTATTACATTTAATTGTTTAAACATCACACACATATTTCAATAATAATAATAATTAACACTAACCCTACATAACCTAACCTCACTAGCCAATATAAAAAAATTTGTGGATCCAGCCCAAAAACATATCCATGTTAACAAACACAAAAATCTACACACCAAATACCTCCTAGAGTTTTGTCCCAAGGACCTGTCTGAGACATTCTTACAGATCACTTTGCCATACATTCATATAAATATTTTAATTAATATACGTTAGATAATTGTATTTGATTTTTGCAGGGGCAGTACAGTTTGGCTAGAGCTCAACAGTCTTTCAGATCGTTAGTACAAATACACGAGAAAAATGGTAAATTATAATACAATCAAACATTAAATTTAATAAAGGCTCAGTACACTTATCCCAAATTGTTTTCTGTATTTCTAGGCTGGTTCACACCCCCTAAAGAAGATGGTTAAAATTCTGTGTGTGTGTGTGAGTGTGTGTGTGTTGTTTTCCCAATTCGACTCAAAAAGTGAACGGATAATATATGAACCCTGCTAAAGTGAATTAGTGTTGTTTAGAATCGGATATTTTTTTAAATCCCTGTGTATATTATGTTCCCTAAACAAAAAACAAGCTACTTGCAGACAATGTAATAATGTAATTTAATACCTTATATATATATATAGTTTGATTTATTTGTTCTATAAGACTGTAACTCACAAAAAAACTCAAGTAGCTTTATTGTGCTTTATTTTTTCTTTTTTTCTCTCTTATCTCTATCTCTCTATCTTATATCTTTTATATTTACATCTTATATGACAGATTATTTGTTTCAATTATAGCATAATTATTAGCGTATTCAGTTTGTATTTGAGATTCTTGTTTTTAGAACATAATATCTTAGACACAATATAGAATATTATACACATATTTTACATCAATACATTCTCATTTGAAAAAAAAATTAAACTTATAGTTAGTTATAAATTGAAATACTCAGTTATATTTCTATACAAAAGCTTTTTGTCACCAATTTTTTCTTAATAACAAACTGCAAGAAGAAATTCAATTTGTTATAAACATTATTGTTTCAGCGAAATGCCTACAAAAGTTTTTTTTAAAAACAAAAATATTATTTGTAAGATTATTTTGAGACTAGAATAGAAAGAATTTTGTTTCGGGTGAAACGCTCAAATTGCTTGTTTATCATGAAAAATGATTAAGGAAAAAAGTCATTGTTAAAATTTTTTTAAGTTTTACCACATAATATTATTTGTGGTGTTTGTATAAATTTATATATAAAAACATTCAAGTATAAAAAAAGAACATTGTACACACTTTGAAGAACTAATATACCATTCGTTCCTGTATAAAGATTATATGTATTAGTCCTTGTTCGAATTGCATGTAACGATTCGCTTTTACGAGGGTGCAGGTTGTTATGCTTTTATTTCCAAATTTCCCTCTGCATATAGTTACCGTTTTTTGGATTAAATGTCGCCATCCATCTTTATTAATCGGACATTCCATTTTTTGTTTGTTTTTGTTTTTACAAACGTTGTGGTAGAACTTGTACATAGAAGTTTTATTCTTTCATACTACAACGTTTTCATATATATTTCTTTGAAGCAGTACTTCCAGTCCAGTTTTCTCGATAAAACAAAAACCCAATGTTTGTAAATATTATTTGTAAGTGGTCAGTGTTTTACTGGTGGTCACTAACTTAAATAAACGATTTGTAAAAAAAAGTCTTAATATTCTTAACATCACCTGTCCTTTTAAACTTTTTCATATTTACATTTTACATTAAAATACCTACAAGACAACTTTAATAATTCGTACTTTTTTTCTTCCAAGATCATGAGTTCTTTTACAATATAATTATAGTAATTGTGTATGCCAAATTCATTTTATTACTCTTACAAATTAGTGACAAAACGTTAAACATTTAACACAATCAATTCAAGTTGAAATTTTAATTTTCACCTTCTCCCAGAGAGCAATTTTTGAAAATTTCCTATTGGTTAGAATAGATGATCCCCTGGTTGCATTGAAAGTACTAAATAGAGGAGAATATTCTCGAGTGTTATTGTATCAACTGAAATTGTACGAATCATGGTCACTTGAGCTTTCGTCGCACTCCTTTCCCTTCCCCCCCCAAAAAAAATTCATATACTCCTTGGCTAATATGCACAGTTCATAAGGCCATTAAAAGAGAGAAAAATGCTAGCATCTTGTTAGTACCTCAGGTTGTCAATTTAAGAATAGATACACAACATACAATACAACATATATCGCCACAAACGTAGAAGTCTGGTCACATTCACTCCCCCAGAGTACTCGACATTCCTCGGGGTATGGCCGAACCCACTCCATTCGCGCTAATAACTTACTTTTGCTCTCCAGACATCACAACTCACCCCAGAGTACTCGTTATTCCTCGGGGCGGGGTAAATAACCCCTTCTTTTCTCGCTAATAAATTACATTCATCCTAATAAACATAAACATGACACAATATAAGCACAGCGCAAACACACATAAACTATATCCATTTGAAAGTCCCTATAGCCCTGAGGTACCGGTACAGCGATTTGTGCTCGCTGCTGTGCCCCAAGACTACACACAGGTCCGATGATATTCCAAAATATTGCCTATAAACATCGAGCCTTTACAATTGAAAAGGTGCTCGACTGTTACTCTATCCTTGCATAATGGGCACCTATGCGGTCGCTTTCCTGCTAGAAGGGCAGGGTTATTTCTATTTTTCCGCGACCAGCGGTTTATCCATTATTCTTTTATCGTATTTGAAATTAATAACTTGAGATCTGCTAGGCGTATAGGTTGGGAAGCGTCATGAGGTCCTCTGGCTGCCTCTTTGGCCGCCCTGTTGCTTCTTCGTTCCCGGTAACCCACACCAACACGACCTTATTCCCAACTGTGTCGATCCCTTTTAATTGTTGTTTTATTTTGGTTACTAATGGGTCCACGGAGCTTCTTCTCCTGAGCTTCTGGACCGCACTGAGCGAGTCGGTATATACTACAAATGACGCTGACTTTATTATGCTCAGTGTGAGGGAAATGGCATATAGTTCCGCCATGTACACGCTTGTGGCGGGAGGGAGTGACAATTTTTTTGTTTCTCCCTCCGTGTACACGGCACACCCCATGCCCTCTGCACAGACGGGTCTGGCATCTCTACATTCGTTTTTCAGGGCTTCAAAAATTCCTTTATATACGTAGTGGGGTGTCTCGTTCTTTTTTAATTTTGCCAAATCCCACTGTACGATGAAGGCAGGGAGTAACCAGGGGGGTGTTTCAGGTAGGTTTTCTACCTCCACTTGGTTCAGCTCTACTCCCCATGCCGCTAAAATTTCCTTGGCTCTTATGGCCAACGGCCTTGTACGGGTCCTCAAGAGAGAGTATCTTTCGCTGGAGTTGGGGGTCAAAAAGGGTCTTATGTAAGAAATGGTTCGGCTTTGCCCATTTGCTCGCATAACATTTCAACGTTATTTCTTCTCTTTTTACAGCAGGGAGGAGAACCCCTGCCTCTACACATATGCTATCGAGTGGGCTTGTCCTGAACGCGCCTGTCACTAGTCTTAGGCCTTGCATATATATATCCTGTCTAATTTTTTGAGGCGTGTTCTTCTTGCCGAACCATAGTCCATACAACCGTAAAATAATTTCTGGCACAGCACCGTTTTAAAAAGGGTCATCAACACTTCTCTTTCTGCTCCCCACTTAAATTTGGAGAGGTACCTCAGGAGGTTGATGACCCGCTTGCACTGCACTTCCATGTTCACGATATGTGGTTGCCATCTTAGCTTCTCGTCGAAGGTCATACCGAGAAACCTTGAGCATTACAACCGCATACCCAAGAGCTTCGTTCCCCATCTGGAGCTGTGGGGGATCATGTTCCCTCCTCAGTCTACAGAAGTGGATTGCCCTCGACTTTTCGGCCGAAAAGGAGAAACCTATCCTCTTGGCATTGGCAACCATGCAACCATGGCGGTTTGCACTCTTCCTTCAACTTCTCGATCCTCTCAGACACCAACTTCCCACCGACCAAAAATCATCAACTCTTGAAGGGATTTGTTGGAAAATTTTGTTATATGGGAAGTTCATATCACTCTTTCCCTGCGATAGGGAAACGTGGTAAGACCATACCTCGGCCCATGGCATCACTGGAATAGACGATTCGTCGTTATAAATTTCAAGCATTGTAATTGTTAAGGTTCAAATTCTAGTCTTTGGTTTATAGGTAAAAAAAAGTGAAGTGGAATTTTTCGAAACGTTTCCTCATAAATGAAACTGGTAAAAGTGAAATATCGTGCCTCCTATGACCAAGGGGTTGGAGTTATAAAAGAAGTGAAGAACAACTACAGATTTAGTCAAAATGGATTCAATGTATAAACAGACAGAAGAATTGAAAGCTCCTGGTAAGAATTCTATAATTCGTCAGAAATAAAAGTAATTTAGTAATAAATAGGTTTAACACTGGGGGGGGGGCAATGATTATGTTGAACTAATTAGTGATGGTTGAGACCTCGTCGGGTAGACGAGTCCTAAGGTGCAAGGTGAAATTTCGTCGAGTAGATGAGTCTGAAGTGAGTGAGGCAGTGCCCCTGCTTATATACGAAATGGCTCTACTTAGATTGGCTGCAGAGTGGAGGGTAAGACCATTCAAAACTGGTGGTGACACCTAACCGGCATCCCGGTAACTGCAGGTGGCCATTATAGCCACTATTACGACGAGCCACTAGACGAATACTGGCTAGCTGGACGATTGGCAGAGGATCCACATTGGATCCACACGAGGACTGATATACCAGACAAGGTTCTCTATACTACCAAGGATGCCGTAGTATAGTTAGCACGGCCTCTAAATAATTTTATTCGATATTAGTTCACATCCGGATTGAACATGGATTATGGGGAGCTCACAAGTATAGGATGGGTATGAGTTAGTCCCCAAACTTTGCCACTTGTGACTGTAATTTTGGATTTGGTATGTTGATGCCCTGAATATGTAGATAGAAGGAAGGACTAGATATATCGAGTTTACTCTTTGCAGGGAATTGCTAGGCCTATTACTCTGGAATCACTTATAGTATAGGGTAGACAAGACGTATACAAAATATTGTTTGAGCATGTCTCAGATCCCGAAATCGAGATTTAAAAAGAGTAGGTCTGCTCGGCGGTTCAGGTGATCGGGGGTGTGGTGGCGGGCGTCGCGTTGAGGCGTCCGGTGTGAAGGGCAGGAGGGATACAGAGCGTGTAGCCCCGCTCCCTTCGAGGACGTTGACTTTTCCACTGGTATATCCATGTTAGTAGTTTTTATCCATGTTCTCCAGTGGGGAGACTGCCAAGAGTAAAAAACATGTTTGGTTAAAAGGTGCATCTCTCTTGCCGCGGCGGGTGTGTTGCACGTAGCTGTTCCTCGGTTGGTAAATCCGTTGAGCATTTAGAAGATATCCAGCAATCTAGGTGATTGGTGATTGCTATCAACACTTGGAACATGGGTAATCGGAATACTAAAATAGAAATAAAATCGGGAAGACCGTAGCGAACACGTGTCACATGTTTTGAACAAGTTGAGTCAAACAGAACTGACTACAAACTCGGACAAAATCCAGCTGAAAGGAAATTAAGTTCATGGGTCACATAATTAGGTACAAAAATTGATTCCCAGTGCATCAGAGAGATTAAGGAAATCTCTGCCTCCCAAAATTTAAAGTTTACCCAGTTTTTTGGGGCGCAGAGGGCTGTTTAAATAAATACTTGCCTCTTTCCCCACTATTGCAGCGTCTTTAAATGCACTCGAAGAAAAACATGTTTTATTTGGAACAAAGAATGCAAAATGGCGTTTCAACAAATAAAATCGATGATTTCTAGCTATCAAGTTTTGACGATGCCGGTGTATAAACCCAAGAAAATGACGGGATAATTAGACCAGTAGCTTTCACTTGTAGGGTACTGAACGATCAGTAAAAATTATGACACATGCCCTTTCTGTCATCCATACATTTCCAAGAGTACTTGGTAAGACACCCAGAAGTGTTTATACCATTATCTACCCATCAGAAAAATGATCCCATGTTCGGAGACATATCAAGGCAAAGTGATCATCATCATCATCATGCAAAGGCAGAGTAGAAAACTTTACCGAGTGTATCAGAACACTACCAAACTGAGACCATGAAGCGGCCTAAGGTTGTGATACCATTTTCTTGTCTGGAAATGATTTTTCAATATTATCATTCCTCCCCTATGGGCGCGAATCTAGGATTTAAAAAGATGTACAACAAAATAAAAAATGTTTTTATTTATACAAAAATGCGCAGAGATATGGATTCGATATGCAAGTTGTCTTTCTTGCGCGCGGTTAAAGCCCGACTAAACAGGAAAGAAAGATGAGTCAACATTTGAAGATCGCCCAACGGTAAAACTTTATGTCGATTTCTTGGGTCCGCTCTTCAAATCATCATGAGGAGGAGGCAAATGTGTATTTTTGGCTTTAGATGCATTTTCCAAATTTTTTGGGCAATTACTACAAAAAACACAACATCTGAAACAGTGATACTATGTTTGAAAAACTGTATTTTCGCTCGACATGGGCTGTGTAAAATTAGTCTCCGGCAATGGCCCTGGGTTTAAAAGCATAGAATATAAGTCGTTTTGTTTCAAGATGGGGATTAACTTATCGCTTGAACATACCACATTACCCACAAAGAAACATCGAACGGTTCATATCATCACTAGAAACACCTATTACCCTTTACCATTCTTCAGAACAAAAGGAGTAGGAATTTGAATTATGGTTCGTTGTTGTGACATTAAATAATGAAAAACATGCACCTACTATGAATACACCTGCAATGATTTTCTTCGGGACAGACTTATACCAGCGTTACTGTTTGAAGGTTCTGGTGGATGACAAGTTGTGGTCAGCTAGAACGAAGAAAGAAATGGATAAAGTGTGGTATCAAGCTTACAGAAACCTAATGAAGGGCAAAGAGGAAATGTCCAGATTGTACAGTGAACAAGATAGGAGGTGGCGGAATGTACAAGAAGGAGGTCTGTTTTGGATTGAATGGTATTTAATCCCGGATGCTGTGAAATTAATGACAAGTTATTCAGGTCCATACTTCCTGATCGAAAACTGCTTGGATTATCTCTTGTGAACCCAGTGTTCGGAGCACAAGTGAGTGCCTATATAACTCGGCTAATAAAACTCAAAAAACGAAAGAAACAACTACATCACAGTACTAAATTACTTTGAAAAGAAAATAAACAAAAAATAAGTCAATTTTTTTTCTTTTCGCAACATAAATTTTCATAGTTTGGAGCAAGCACACGCAACCTTCGATTACCACACTGCAGGACATCAAGAGATTCCAAGAGGGAAATGGTTCTGCACAAATTCGCATCAAAGGACACGTACCCTTCGACTACCACACTGCAGGACACCAAGTGGTTCCAAGAGGGAAATGGTTCTGCCCAAATTCGTATCAAAGCACTCGCAACCTTCGACTACCACACTGCAGGACATCAAGAGATTCCAAGAGGGAAATGGTTCTGCACAAATTCGCATCAAAGGACACGTACCCTTCGACTACCACACTGCAGGACACCAAGTGGTTCCAAGAGGGAAATGGTTCTACACAAATTCGCATCAAAGCACACGCAGTCTCGAAGGAACAAGATTTTTCCTCCTGGATGTACAGGCAGAGATTTTCCGTGGGAGTAGATTTAGCTAACCACTTCACGCTACCCCAGAGTACTCGATATTACTCGAGGTAATTAGGGATAATAAGCGATCTGTACCTGCTGTCCCAAGACACCTCGCATAGGTCATTCGGGATATATCTCTTTGCAGTCTGTTATTAATATTATGTGCTCTACCGTGATCAATTCTTCACCCAACTGGGCACCTTCGAGGTCTCCCCCTCATGAGGTGTATGTGATCTCTGTATGATCTATGTGCACCTGGAAGTATGACATGTGAGACCCAGTATCCACAAGCCAGGGATGTCTTTATTAAATTTGTATAATTTGGACGTGGCTCTTTGTATCAGGGGGTTCTCCATTCATATTTTATTACATTAGCACTTGTTCTTTGTAAATCTGCAGGAGGTACAGAGTGCAAGAGGTCGTGTGGTCTCTACGTGACTATCATTCCTGCCTTATCTGATTGTTCGTTCCAGGTTAGTGTGCCCGGGAACCCGCGCCAGGATGATCTTTTCCCCGGTGAAGTTGTATGTCTATGTCCATTACATCCAAGGAAAAAAATCTAATATAAATATTTATAATGAATTTAATTTTTACAGACTTTCCATAAGACATTACACTAACTTTGTTAATATTAGTTATACAATAAATACATGAACATATATCATTTATGTACACACTGGTTTTTCATTATTATTTGTTATATAATTTTTGTTTTTTCTTTTAAATGTTTATCATTATTATTTCTTGTAACAGTGAGTGTTTGAAGTTTTTCCTTTTGAAATCTTTAGTGTACCAATCTCGGTCCCACCCTCTATTGAACAAATTTCTCGTAAAAATAATATCCCGCTTTGAAAAAGTAAATTCTCATCTCTCCACTACTATCTGAAAGGGTCGATTTAAATTTATTCTATTTACAAAACTGCCAAAAAAAGTCATAAAAATATCGGATAATCCAAAGCAAGTTCGGTTGGCATATGCCTAAAAGCATTTGGTAACAATAAACAATAATATAAAATCTTAATATAAATTATATATAATATATATATTTTTTAGCAATTAAATGTTGAAATCGAAAGAGGAGATTTGGTTCCATATCGATCACTTAGCACAGTTCAGCCATCTGAAACAGTCCAATTTTTACTTTAGCACATTTTTAATGAAAATATCTATTGAAAAATGTGGAGCACTAATCTATATGGATGGTTAGGGATAGCTAGGGTACTAAAACCTGTGAGCATGCAATTTAAATGCTGTTTTTATAGAATAATTTTTCTTAACTTATTATTGCTATTTTGCCTCATATTTTTTTAGGAAAGTTACAAGGAGGAACTATGATATAAAAAAAGAAAACATTAAAAAATAGTTATTCAGATATCGTGAGATGCGGTCGGGTGTGATGTAGGTTTCAGAAAAACATTTTCTTTATCGTGCCAACGTTTCGATCTTCTGTGTAATTGTGCCATCCTTGTGTGAGGGCACTCTCAACACGACACCCAAGGATGGCACAATTACACAGAAGACAAACACTTTGAGCCCTGAAGATGATCTCAATAAAAGATCGAAACGTTGGCACGATAAAGAAAATGTTTTTTTGAAACCTACATCACACCCGACCGCATCTCACTATATCTGAATAACTATCGATTAACGGTCACTAATCGCTACACATTAAAAAAATATTCAACTTAGATTATTTTTCTAACATGAAAGGATTGACATGACATTTTTAACGAAACTTCCTACGTAGGTACTAACGAGCTGTCAACTGACAACTCTGCAATCATGAAAGTTTGATACAGGTGTTTATAAGTGATAATAGCTAAGAGAATAGCAGTAACAATTGCGATAACTATTTCCACCTATCAGGCCGATCTAGATGGCGGGAGAGTCTTCTCACGACTGTACAATATCAAGATAGTAACATGGTAATAGTGCTTGAGATAGTCGGAGCAACTCTCCATGCAACGCTTTACGACGCTACCCGATGCTATCCGACGCAAATCCAAAGTCCAATTTTCCATAAGAATGTATTACCTCCGTGCACATCTGCCCGATGCTATGCAACGCTACCCTACTCTACGTTTTGCGATCCCCACTGTCCAGATTTTCGTCGGTTAGCATCGAGTACAGTCGAAAACAAAAGAACCGGACACTCATATTTTTATTCAAACTACATGTATTATTGTCGTTATATTAATTTTTTTTTTGGTTTAGTAGAAAATTGATCAAACATCGGAATACCATTCTTTGATATAATGAATTGAACTAACAATTTAATGCTCATAAAACGGTTTTTCTCATAAAATTTAACTAACAATTTATTTCATTGTTTTGCTCATAAAATTACATCATTTTCGTCGAGTAGCGTCAGAGCAGGACACTCATATTTTTTGTAGTTTATTTCAAACTATGTATATGTAATTTTGTTGTTATATTAATTACAACAAACTTATTTTAATATAAACCAAATTAATCGAGATCAAAAATTCATGAGTTTTTGTAAAAATTATTTAATTATGATGGTTAGGCAGAAAATTTATCAAAACACCGGAATAACTTTATTTAAAACAATTAAATTTAACTAACAATTTATTACATGGTTTTAATCAAAATAATGCATTAAGAACAAAAAAGGCGTTGCGATTGTGATACTGATTTGTGATACACGCTGTGTGACTGTACGTGGCGTGCGCTTGACGTCGCATAGATGTGCACACCCTACCAAACGTGGCAAGGCGTTGGGTAGCATCGGGTAGCGTCGAATAGCGGTGCATCGGGTAAGTGTGTACCGGGCTATGTTTGCATCAAAAAGCTGAATGAATGGGAATGACTGATTTTTTGTTTTGGCCGTTTCTGACAATCTTTGTCTGCCTCGGTTGGACAGTCAGACAACCACAGCTCAAGATGCCGGAATTGTCAATCGACTAAAAAAGCGAGGTGAGCAAACTACAGGCTCATCACTCACCCACCTCAACAAGAAATCACAAATAAATGATTTTGTTGTGGTTTAATTGATGTATTAGAACATACCAAGTTGTATCAAAATGATTAAGAGAGGAAAATTAATCGAGAGCTTCTATTAAAACACGCCAAAGCAACCCTTCTTTTAAATAATTAATAATTTCAGTCACTTTTCATTAACTCTCAGAAAGGGTGTCTTTTTAGACGGATCGATGAATGAAATACGAGCAAGCTTATAAAATGTCTTTGACGCTAATTGACGTTGTCGAGGAGGACAAAGTGCCGGTTTAATAATAGGAGGAAAAGAGACCCCTAGTCGAGAAAGGTGTAACGGAAACGGGAAGGGGGTGGTTCTGTGTCGGTGCTTTGGGTATGTGGAGGTCTCAATATAAGCTAATGCCGAGGCGAGGCCAAGTTATGAATTATACCACCCCATCCCCCATCCTCATCCCCATCCCTAACTCCCTTAAACTCAATATGGCGTCTTCAACAGCTGATGACTATGAAATAATGGCCCTGGATTTGCATGTTGAGTCCCTGGTGGGGGTGCAAGCTGTCGTCAAGGAGCCATTTTTATTATTCCTTAACCCTCAACCCCCACCGCCCACGAACCACCCCCACACCCTTCGAGGCACTACCAAGACTTTCTACTCGCTCGCCCCCTCGCTCTTTTGGCGAATTCTTAATTTTTAATAACCCTCGTTTCTCTCCGGTTTTAGCCCTTAATCCTTTTTCCACTTCCCTCGGCTCTCGTCCTAGTTGCTTTTAACCGTTTGGATGGGAAGCAGGAAAAACCCAAGAAACACATTTAAGAACCCTTTCAACTTTCTTTGTAATGAAAAAAGACACAGTGGAGCAATTTTTATTAGATTAACATGTAACATGTTATACAGACACGTCATTTCGATTCAGTTAAGAAAAGGAGAACAGTGGCTCAAGTTTTTAGCCCCTATAAGTTATTTAATTGCAAAAATGTTAAGATTATAGCTAAATACAAGTGTGATATCAAAAAATACTAAAATTGGTAGATAAATCGACAGAAATACAAGTTATTTTATTGTATTTTAACGTTATACATACATGGTGGGGCATTTTTCGACAAACCAGCAAAAAAGGACTATCAAGTGACTTAGCCATGCCTATAGTTGTAGTTGAAGGCAAATCGTCCGTTGTACGGAGCCTCAGAATGGAGAATTTTGAATACCCATCGATCCTTAAATTGGTTAGGTATACAACTCGTGTAAAGGGTGATGATATCAGCTTCTTCTTTATACACCCAGGATGATTTTGCATTTAGTCGGACGGAGAAATTATATAAAAATTCTTATAATTACCAGGTAGTCACGTGACATTGATTTCCTCGTCGTCTTCAGCGCTCTGCTCTTCTTCCGTGTCGTGGGCCCTCGTCCCTCCCGGATCGCTGAGATCGGGGTGCGGATTGTTTTTATTTGGGAGCGTTTGCTCGCGGGATCCACCGCTCGCCAGCAGCTCCCTTTCTTTCGAATTCCTCCACTTCATCCTCCGGTTTTGAAACCAGATTTTAACCTTGAATTTCAAAAAAGTACATTTTAAACGAGCAAAAACAACATACACGATTTTTTGAAGTCTTAAAATTTTACAGCTTAAAAGGTAAAAACAAATTGTTTCAGAAATAACAAAGGAAATAATATTTAAAAAACAACATACTGGCATAAAAATAACTTTACTTCAAATTACTAGACTCCACGTAAAAGGTGAAATGTTGAAAAATAGCGAGAACAAACTCACCACGGACGAAGGTCATGAGTGCAACAGTTGGCATTCTCATCTATCGTTTATGTTTATGCCCATATATACATATGTACATAGAAAATATCGCGTTAACGTCAAAGATAATCATGTTTTAGATCAATCAGTGTTGTCCGAATGTAATCGTGAGAAGAGACGTACCGTCAAGAAAATGACCAAAGTCTTTAATAAAAGTACATAACTTATATTGAAGAACTATTTAGCGACATTATGGGCATTAGTTGAGTTGTTAAATAATTTTTTTTAAATGTCCTGACTGATACTTCGTAAGGTTGTCACGTTTCTTCGTTCATGTGATTTTCGTAAATGGCATCTTTTCGTTAATCTGTGGTCAAAAGGTATTTTCTCTCTTCCCCCCTCACTCTTACTCTCTCTCTCTACGTATATATATATATATATATATATATATATATACACACACACACATATATATATATATATATATATATATATATATATATATATATATATATATATACACACACACACATATACATATACATATATACCTATCTTCCTACCTCTATCTAAAATATATATTTTTACTTCTTTATCTATCTACTTTCACTCCCACTCATTTTTTCAAGACCCTTTTTTGTTGTGTTATCTGATGAACCTTTTTTTGAATTTAGTCTCGCTTTCTCATTTTCTCTTCTCTCTCTCTCTCTCTCTCTCTCTCTCTCTCTCTCTCTCTCTCTCTTCCTCACTCTCTCCTTTTTCTTTTCTTTCTCCCTCTCGTTCACATACATACACATTTGCACGCTCAAACGAATTTCATCTAATGATCAAGCAATTGCAAATCCTGACTTTGTCTTTTTGTCGTTACACGTTTACCATAAAGAACCGGTAGTTTGGTCATTTCCGATCGTCCGTCCTATCTTCCCTGTTTTGATATGCTGGCCCGTTTCTATAGCCATCTTACGCTTCTCTCTCTTTCTCTGTCTCTATCTACCTATACAAGTTTTATGCTTACACTTCTGTGTCGCCTAATATTGTTCTTTTCGCTGACATCAAACATTGCTTGATGAAACATCATTTTCTGGGTATTTATTTAGTAAGTGAGTAGCTTTATCTTTTCTACTCCCTTCTTTCTCTCTTTCTCACTCTCTCAGTGTCAGCTGCGAAAAATCCAGATTGATCTTCCACCTGAGGTAAAATTACAAATTATAAAATCTATGTTGGTCCCAATCTTTGATTATGCTTCCCTATGCTATTCTAATATAAGTAAAAAAATTTAGAAAAACTACAAAAAGCACAAAATGCTTGTATAAGATATGTTGATAATATCGAATACTTTGATCATGTCACACCATATTATGCCAAAGCAAAAATTTTAAAAATTAAAGAAAGAAGAGCACTAATACTCTCGATGTTCTTAATAAAATTATTAAAAAGACAAAAACCATCATATCTGATAAATAACTTTAAATTGCATAAGCCTACCCATGACAAGAATACTAGATATGATAAACATAGATTTATATTGCCTAAAATCAGAACTGCTATCTACAATGCATCTTTTCTAGTAAAAGCAATCAATAATTTTAATAAAAACAACCTGTACAATTTACTACTTCTACCATATGTAAAAGCGAAATCTATATTAAAAGAAGAGTTCCTGACAAAATACAATAATAGATAAAAATGTAATTACAATATCCTCGTGTTTATATATATATATATATATATATATATATATATATATATGTGTGTGTGTGTGTGTGTGTGTGTTATACTATACTATTATACTAGACTGAATTATGTACAATTGTGTTAAGATTATTTATTACTAAATTTGCTATTTATTAATTATTAAACTATTTATTATTTATTTATTTGTTATTTATTACTAGCGTACATTAAATTATCATTGTTATATTTAAGCCATAATTAGAAAGACACCTTGTAAGAAAATTATAATTAAGAAATTACAATAAATTGATATAATTATCTGTTAGAGCTGAATAAAATAAAATGTTAACATTAAGTTTCCTGACTTCGGTAAGAGAGGACCCTATGGTTCTATGTAAGCTTCAGGTTAATAAAGTATTCATTCATTCATTTTCTCTCTCTCTCTCTCTCTCTCTCTCTCTCTCTCTCTTTCTCTCGCCAACCACTTGATCGAGCTGTCGTTATGTCTTATGTCTTACTAGGTATGTCGTGTTAATCGCTTCTGTAAATTTTTATGTAACCTTGAAACATTGATTTTAGTGATGAAGTAAAATTGACGCTATAAAACAAATTAATGATAGTTTATTATTCCGAGGGCCTATGTTATGCGCTTATTTAAATAGTGGTTGACAGTATCAATGTTTTTATTACCACAACCCTAGAATATAAAGTATATTGTATCTATTATACCAATAAATATCACAGATTGATTTTGTCATAAACACAATATTTTTAATGAAGGATGAACAGAAAAGCAGTGCTGTAAAGGTTTTTGTAGTTTTAGTTTTTATTGATTTATTATTTACATTTCGCGCCTCTTTCATCCCGATCCCATTTCGCTTATGTTAAAAACCTCCTTCAATCTCCCCCGCGATGACAAATGATTAAATTATGCCGGCGGATTGTGCTAATAGCCGTGCGGATTTGCATGAGGGACTCGTGTATATTTATGATTCACCTTATTAACCTGGCCAATTGGGGTTTAATATGGAGTGTGTTGCGGGCAGTAATGAGGTGGTAAGTGTTGAGTGGTGGTGGTCCACTTGCCCTGCATACTAACCAGCGGTCGCTCCTGCACCCCCTCGTACAAAACCGCCCTTGTTTTTACATGGGAGCCGACTTGCAACCCCCTCATCGCCACGGTGGGCAAACTGTGGATGGAATCGGTGAACACAATCCCTCTCCCATTTCACGTATTAACAACGGATTTTGACTTGTCATTCACTATTAATTGACGATTTAGATTGCCCGGCGTTTTGTGTCTGATTTCAAATCGGAATTTTATTGCCCCTTATTGGAATATTTTTTGCTTTGATTAACAAAAAAGCCGACGCCTGCTTTGAGAGCCGAAAAACAAATATTTTAAATAGGAATTGAAGTTTTGGCTTGTACATAATCCAAGACTTTCAAGACTTTTAACAGCTACCCGTTTTTTTTCAGGCTTAATTTATTTGTGATACATAAATACATTTTTTTCATATAAAATCGATTTTTTCTGGTATAATAACAATGTCGTATGTAATAAAATGATCGAAATCCAAATCGTTGTAAACAATAAATCCGTGATTAAAAACATCATTTACTAAGAGATTCTACATACTCACTCTACGTTCATAATTTCTGATTTCAGTAATAAAAGTATCGAACACTTTTTCACTTACGAACACTCTGGATCAAGGTTTGGCCTTAGAGAAGAAATCAAATTTAGTTGCTAATGCTAAGCTTTCGATCTATTTTAAGGTCAATCATCAGGGCCTATATTAATTTCACATAATGAAAAACATATTTGTACAATTGATTTACCAATCAATGTAACTATATAGAACTTACAAAACAACCTTAAATATGTATACAGATTGGCATATTTAAGTTCTTTTTTGGCATCAATGTGACTGGCATCACAGTGCTGCTTGATTTTTTTCATTGATTTAGTGATTTTCTCAGGTATAAATGGCTATTGGATGGTATGGCGATAGAAGGTGTTTTGTTCCTCATTTTTCCAGTTATCCATAATGAATGATTTGATTGAACGGGTTTTAGATCGGGCCACTTATAATATTACGGCCATATATAGGTCGATGACTTGTTTCTGATTTTACCATGATTTTACCAAGGGATAATTTAGACAATTTTTTTAACCTTTTTAATAGTTTTTCAATTAATTAATATTTATGAAAGGTGTTGGTTAAGATAAAAAGTCCGAGCGGATCGAACTCACGATAGCTCAAGTGGTAGAGCAGCGGCGTATTTAGCCGAAGGTCGTGGGTTCGAATCCCGCTCGTGACACTGACTATTTTATCTTAAACAATACCTTTCATAAATAATAATTAATTGACAAATGTTAATTGGTCAATCGGACCACAAACTGTAGTGGACTTTTTAATAGTTATCATAAGAATATACAATTCCCATATGAAGTGGAGAATAATAGCTCTATTCCCTATTAGAAATGGAAGTCATCAGAAGTCCAGCGGGCACACTGATGCATAGGTGGAATTTTTTTTCCCATCCATCACCCCGCCGTACCACAGGGAGACCCCATAACGGCGGACTACGACCATGAAATCTATTAAATAATTAATGAATTAAGGAAGTTTAAATTTACTTTAACATTCTCTCCTAGCCTTACCTTGGTGGAAGGTGAGACCAGGGGAAGTAAAGGTTTTTTAAATTATCTATTCAAAAAGAGGGTTCCCCTTGCTGTTTACTTCTTTACACTTTGGTTCAATGATATTTACATACGATAAATTTTACAAGTTACTTCAATAGAAGTAAACAACTCGAAATTTACCGCCTATTTGAGTACATACATATATTGAGACTGGGAAGACTAATAAATAATAAATAAATGGACGAATAATAAATAAATAAAATAAATAATTAGAAAAATATTATATATAAGGGAAGCGATAAATATACGAAAAGTAATCAATAAATAAGTAATAACTATCGAGTATGCAATATTTACAATAGATAAAAAAGATAGTTTTTATGTCAGCACATTATGTACCTGTTAGTTTTCGACTTAAGTTTTTAAATAATTTGAAATTTTCTTTATCCTAAACTAATTTGTTTAAGTCTGAAGG